CCCCCCCCTTGTCCACTTTTTGCTGAACCCCCCCTCCCCCCTTTTGTGTGGACGTCTTTTATGGATGACCCAAAGGGGTTAAATCTCTCTGCCACAGTACTGGAAGGGGTTAAATCTCACTGATACAGTACTGGAAGGTGTTAAATCTCTCTGCCACAGTACTGGAAGGGGTTAGATCTCACGAATAAAGTACTGGAAGGGGTTAAATCTCTCTGCCAAAGTACTGGAAGGGGTTAAATCTCACTGATATAGTACTGGAAGGGGTTAAATCTCACTAATTCAGTACTGGAAGGGGTTAAATCTCACTTCTACAGTACTGGAAGGGGTTAAATCTCACTGGTAAACAGCACTTGAAGGGGTTAAATCTCACTTCTACTGTACTGGAAGGGGTTAAATCTAACTGGAAAACAGCACTGGAAGGGGTTAAATCTCACTGATACAGCACTGGAAGGGTTAAATCTCGCTGATACACTGCTGGAAGGGGTTAAATCTCACTGATAAACAGCACTGGAAGGGGTTAAATCTCACTGATACAGTACTGGAAGGGGTTAAATCTCACTGATACAGCACTGGAAGGGTTAAATCTCGCTGATACACTACTGGAAGGGGTTAAATCTCACTGATAAACAGCACTGGAAGGGGTTAAATCTCACTAATACAGCACTGGAAGGGGTTAAATCTCACTGATACAGTACTGGAAGGGGTTAGATCTCATTCCTAAAATGGGTACAGGTAAGATGTTATAGGTGAGTTTTGTTTTGCAATTGACCTGTTCCTGGAATCAGTGACATGACTTGCAGTTCAAATTAGCTGGTGATTTTCATGAACTAATAATTCCCTGCAGGCTCAAGCTCCAAGAACACTGCACATCAATGAAGTCCACTCTGACTGACCACTGCCTTCTTAAATTGGAATCACTGCATAAAAATGCTTTACAGATCATAGAGTGAGTTCACTATTAAAGATATGTTTTCTTCTTCTTCTTTATTTTGAGGGCCCACGATAAATGAATTGATCACTCTGGCTCATATGTTTCAAAGGGGTTCGCGATGTTACTGTGCCGTGCATGAGTTTCAAGGGGATACTTCACTATGTTAATTGCTGGTGTGTGATCTGTAACGAAGTATGGGGAAAATACAACAGAGGTGTCAACCATTTCTAATGAAGAATATTTTTTAAAAACCCACTATGGTTTGGTGTGGCGATAATGATTGCATGGCTGTGGGTAGGCTAATTAGATTGCCATTTTTATATGTCCTTTTAGAAATATTGGTCTTCTCCGATTAAAATCTTTTATTCTGCAACAATATTTCCTGTCACGCAGATCATTAACGAAATCCTTGACACGAATCCAGAAAATTGATAAAAACATCAACAGCGTCTTGAACTGTCAAAAGCTTCTTAGTGATAAACTAGTGAAGGTGAGTCGTGGTGAATAAACTTAGTGATAAACTAGTGAAGGTGAGTCGTGGTGAATAAACTTAGTGATAAACTAGTGAAGGTGAGTCGTGGTGAATAAAAGAGTTATTGCGTGGTAAAAGCGTGCATGTGTAAATATCGTTAGAGTGCAGAAAATGTGCAGTGAATATTTATATAATGATAAGTATTTAGTAATTTAATTTGATTTAATTTTTTTAAAAACATTAATTTTAAGTATACATGGGGAAAAATAAAATTTATTATTTAAAAATGAAATAAATATTTATATAATTTTTCTGTTTATAAACCTTTCTTAATATAAATCAATAAGCTAGGCAATATTATTATTAATAATTGGGTGTGGGCCATATGTTGTGCAGGCCTGCTCTAGATGACAAGATACCAACTTATATTGTACATGTGTTCAGAAGCTTTATTTCATTAACAAATCAAAATGTTTTGGGTGAAGGCATCCCTCAGCTCACATATTATTTGCAGAATACTTGAAATCTATTTTTAGCCTAAATATTTTATTTTGTTTAGTTTAGTTTCAATGAGCATTATTTCAATGACCATTTTGTCTTTATCAAAGATCTATCTACTTAATTTTACTGGGTATTCCTACACTGTGAATTACTAGAATAGGAAAAATGCCCGAGTCCCAAAAGCTGAAGATTGAACGCTGTGTGTATGAAAATACTATTACATCTTATCCAAAGTTGAAGACGTCCACCAAAAGCCAGCTGAAAGTGATGGAGAAAGATACTGGCTACTTCACTGGACCAGGCATACAAGAGAGCTCAGGGAGACCATCGGGCCCACTTGTGGTGTCTGGTGACTTAGCTGTGGTCGGGGCCGAGAGATTACCTAAAGAGGAGGGAATGCGAGAGCCACACTTGTCGGCTGGATTTAATGATGAGTACGTTGTCCCCAAATACCTTAGGCTCTCAACTAACTTTTTATGACGTTTAAAGCAGTAGTCTGCCAGCAACTAAAGCAGTAGTCTGCCAGCAACTAAAGCAGTAGTCTGCCAGCAACTAAAGCAGTAGTCTGCCAGCAACTAAAGCAGTAGTCTGCCAGCAACTAAAGCAGTAGTCTGCCAGCAACTAAAGCAGTAGTCTGCCAGCAACTAAAGCAGTAGTCTGCCAGCAACTAAAGCAGTAGTCTGCCAGCAACTAAAGCAGTAGTCTGCCAGCAACTAAAGCAGTAGTCTGCCTGCAACTAAAGCAGTAGTCTGCCAGCAACTAAAGCAGTAGTCTGCCAGCAACTAAAGCAGTAGTCTGCCAGCAACTTAAGCAGTAGTCTGCCAGCATTTTCTTGATGGCATCTTTTGGTATCACTCAGCCATATAAAAATTGTATTTTATCAAGTCAAAAACTTACTAATGAGTGAAGAATTAGGAAATCAATATTATTTAATTAATTATATTTCGGAAAAATTCCTTCGGGTTCGGTGTGCCTGCCAGAGGTTGTCCCTCAATTGCTAGCCTGAATAAGTATTAAATAGTTTAAAACTAATTCAAAGTTGCAGTAATTGAGTCAAATTGAATGCAGAACGAAACTTCCCTAAAAACAAATTTTAAGTAGCGAAATCATAATTTAGTTTGAACCATTTTGTATTCATTTATACAACTGTAAGACAAAGCTGCTATATGCTTACTTTTACTTTTAAACAAAACAAAAAAGCTATGCTAAACGAAGTAGCGGCAGTTATCCAGCTTGTAGCTTTACAAGACTAGTCGCCGATCCAATATAAATTGAATACTAAATCGCTTAGAATAGAAACATATCAGAAGACTCATAATGTGTAGTAGTAGTAGTAGGTCTCACTCTTACTTGCTTTATTTTCAGTGTCAAACTAGTGTCTCATCAAAGCTTGGTGCTGGAAAACAAGCTGCAGCAGTTACAGAAGATGTTGAATGAAAACCTAAGTATCATTCAGAGGTATGCTTATGCTGATCTTTATACTGGTCATCTTCGGTCATTCATGGACATAATTCTCAGGAACTCTCTCTTCCTGTTTTTACTTTCAGTTACTGGAATAGAAGGAAAAGACTTTTCTTTTTTTTAATTTATTTATCCACAAGGCAAAAATCTAATAAACAAATGCAACGATTTCTTAGACTTGAAAAATAATTATAATTTAATTATGTCCTTTATTATAGCGTTCTGTTTTGAATTCATTCCTATCAGTCTTGATGACAGCAGCCTTCAAAGTCGGGGATCCATGAGTAGAAACGCCAGTGCAATATATCAACCTGACCTAGATGGCAACACATGAAGAAGAAAAAGCAGCGCCCAGACTTTCCCTGGCCATTGGCTCCTGGCGTCCATGCCTGCCACATCACAGACATCACTTGCTGATCAGGGCGTTTGATCAGATCACTCACTTGGTGGAGAGTGGCAACTACAGTCTCATCAATGCCTTAAATCTTGGAGAATCGACACTAATACTGTGTATTAGTATTAGAGTACAATTAATTTAATGATAAAAAATGTATGTGAGATATTCTTTTCTGTCGTTTGTATGGTTAATAAAATATCTCGCCTTAAGTCATGCATGCAGCTTTCTTGCACTGGTGTGTGGTAAGTGTAAGAGTATCTCAGGTGGGTGGTTTTATAGTTTTCACTTAAAATTAAAGTTATATTCAAAGTTTAAAGAGGAAGAATCAACATCAGCTGCAGTAAACAATTATCACTGGGACAGTACAATCGGAATAAAAGTCTGGTCACACTCTGGTAGGGCTGAAGTTTTTAATTCACGAATAAATAAGAAGGCCCATGCCCTTGGAAAACTAAATATTTTTTTTAAATTTAACTTTATGCTGGAAAAAGAATTTTGGAGGAAAAAAAAGAGTTGATTTACAAGGATTTTTACAGAGAGTGACATATCTGTACAGTGTTATGGCTCTCGAGCTATGTTACCGCTCAATTACATCATAGAAATGCTGCTCAGCTCATGCTACTGCTTTCAGAGCTCTATCCTCTAGCCTCGTAAATTGATTGGTGTGTAGGCTGTGTTGCAATCAATATTGTATTGACACTAACCTTATGGTTATTTGAGTTTATTCATGGCGTCTTGGGGGAGACAGAGGAAATGTGTGTCACAGCATGGGGGGGGGGGGGGGGGGGGGGGGGTGTTAGAATTAACTGGACTTCCATTACGAAATACAGTTTGCCTAAACTTTTCTAAATTTCTATAGCGATTTGAGCGTAAAAATTAAAGGCTTAAATAGCTTTGAGATTACCTGTGGAGATAACTATCATGCAAAGAGAGAGCACCATCTATTATGGCTTATTTCCACATCACCTCACAATTTAAAGATATTTAATTCTCATCAAAAATCATATTTTGAAATTTAGAGACATTTTTTTTCCAAAACTAGCTTCACCATCCATCTTTCATAAGAGCAAATGTGTTGTAAGATTTGAGTGGGCTGACAAGAATAGTTTTTCTTCAACTGAAAAGTGATGAATCTGAATCTTTCTTTGTTTAAAAATTAGACCTATCAATATTGCTCTTTTGAGACACATCAGCCCACATTCCAGCCTAATACCACATGACATGCCAAATGTTCCATTGAAACCACACAGAGACTCATCGAAAACATTCAGGCACTGTACAGAACACTAACATCAACAAATGTTCCGGTTGTGTTGAATTTGAGCTACAGTAAGTTGAAGATTTATACAAGTTTGCACCTGTTCTGATGATTTTTCAAAAAAATTACACGATTTCTAGGCCAAGGGTTCTTTTAATATGGCACCCACAGACTCATTGGGAATCCATGGATGGCCTCCAATATTAAATAAACTACTCTCATCATTCTCCAACTATTTATTCATGAGATATCTGAGGGCCAGTCAAAATACAAAAATATGTCCAGAACCCTGGACATAGAGACTTGAACATGTTATTTAATGTTTTGTCGAGGTTTGCATTTATGTTAAATCTAGTATAGATGTGAATAGAAAATCAAGCAACAAGTGTTTCGGTACTAATTATTAATATTGAGTTTGTGTATAATTATTTTGATAATGATAACAGAAACAGCTTTAGTATTTGATAGAATAGTCCAAATTTATCAACCATTCATGTAAACCTGACCCAACTGGTTACAGAGCACCATTGACTTTGTTAACTGTCAATCAGGCTCAAGAGCCAAGAAGTTGCAGGCTTTTCATCAGATATTTTACACCTAGGATGGACTTTACCATTGAATATCATTCATCTCGACTCGGCTGTTTAAATACCTTTCTTTTCCTACACAATTCCGCTTCTTGTATTCGTAGTAACAATTCCTCTGCTATTTAAAAACTAGAAAGCAATGATTTACAAACATTGTGACAAAATGGTCAGATAATCATAACGGGGCTGAAGATATAGGTTATAAAAGCTTTTTTATCATTGGGCGCACAAAACATTCTCACACTGATTTTAAGTAATTTATAAAACTTGAAACCGGGTCTGACCGGGCCTGATCAGACCACACACACACAAAAAAAAAATCACATCCAGAAATTGAATGTGGTTTCTTAATGGGATTTACATATCAGGATTTTAAATAAAATATGGGACACTGTTTTCAGACTGCGGATGTCGTCAATGAAAAATACTGGTACATAATTACAAATGGAAAGAGTGAAAAGCAGATAGCGTATTGTTACCAGGGAATACATCAGAAAGAAAGAAACTTTACTATCAGTATGAGTAGAGTCACTTTGAATGAACATAAATCTACATTATCCTGACCAAAGCTGTATTTCTATAAAAGGTGGTGGGCTATTTTTTAATCAGAGCTTTTGATTGGTCTGGTATGATCAGTTCAAAGGTCAGCTGGTGTAACCCCATCACAGAGAGTTAGTGATTTCATCCTCAATGTTTTTAATGTATACTAATTTTTCAAATGATCAATAATTGGTAGAAGACTTTCGTCAATTCCAATCATTGGTATATGATGTAGTTTATTCAATCATAAGTACTATGGGATTCATGTCTTTGTTCATCTCCAATCACTGGTTGGTATGTGACTTTTCAACTCCAATCACTGGTTTAAGAATTTTTTTAACTCCAATCATTGGTTTGAGAATTTTTTCCAATCATTGGTTTATGAATTTGTTCAATTCCAATCATTGGTACGTGTCTTTTTTTCAACTCCACTCATTGGTATGTGTCTTTTTTTTCAACTCCAATTATTGGTTTATAAATTTTTTTCAACTCCACTCATTGGTTTATGAATTTGTTCAACTCCAATCATTGGTAAGTGTCTTTTTTTTTCAACTCCAATCATTGGTTTATAAATTTTTTCAACTCCAATCATTGGTTTATGAATTTTTTCAACTCCAATCATTGGTTTATAAATTTTTTCAACTCCAATCATTGGTTTATGAATTTTTTCAATTCCAATTATTGATATGTGTTTTTTTTTCAATTCCAATCATTTGGATATTGAGAAGATTGGGATTACAGGAGTGGAGGCGTTAATTTGTTATGTTCATTCCTTGATGTTTTGTACAAAAAGTGAATGCATGGACCTTTGAAAGTGTTTCCCTCCACCCCAGGACCTACAACTAGTTCCGAAAACATGAAGTGTGCACATTTAAGAAACGGCGCGAAAATGTTTAAGCTCAGCTTCTGATAATACCATGTTTTTTTATTTTAAATAAATGGTTGACATTTTACAAGGGTGGCAGACACCCGAATGTTGATAATCTGAAGAAAAAAAAGTCTGCTTTTTTAACATTCTTCAATATCCATTAGAAACGTGATTTTGAAGAACATCGGAAAAGGTTTAAGACCCATCAAGGGAGCGGGGTGAATTATATAGCCTGATGTATCATAATCGGCTTTATAGACTTTTCACAAGCCGTAGCTCAATGTCTGTGTTTTCATTCCTTTTCTTTATCATGTGCCATTATTCATGTAATGTCTTCAGTGCACTCACAAGGGTCAACTGATACAAACTGTTCTTTGGGACACATTGCAGGCAGGCCTGGTTGTAAAACTGCTTCAGGGAACAGATGGTTAAAAATGTTACATGTTCTTTGGGACACATTGCAGGCAGGCCTGGTTGTAAAACTGCTTCAGGGAACAGATGGTTAAAAATGTTACATGTTCTTTGGGACACATTACAGGCAGGCCTGGTTGTAGAACTGCTTCACGGAACAGATGGTTAATAATGTTACAGTTACAGCTTAAAATTTTAAAACATGCTTGTTAAATAATGCACATGATGATTTCAGAAACTGCACACATGTTTGGTACTGTAAAATAGTATTTAAAGATGTAAACTTTGTATGTCAGCACTAAACAGAAACAAACCCCTGTACGAGGACCACAGAGAAGTAATGAAACATAGTTTGTAAACCAAGATTACAAATAATTTGTCAATGTATGCCATTCAAAAAAAACAACAAACAAACAAACCTTTGAGGTACTTCTGTATTTGAAGAAGATTAACTTCTTTAAGACTTATTGTTGAGTCTTTGCATCACGGAATCAGCGCTTAAACAAATACATGCTTTTTATAGAATTCATAAATTTATTGAAAAGGTCTCTAATTGGAACCAATAGACTGACAATTCTAAACTGAATATCAATACTAAACGTAAACCTGCAGATATATGCTTGACAAATGGTGTTCTTTAAACACTTGGACTGCCTGGTTGCATTGGGTATACTGTCAATGATTTGTGATTAGTGGCATGAACCACACTGACCGGTTACAAGTGGGATAAACATATTGTATTCCATTCACTGATTATAAATGGAACATACCGGTATGTGAGTTCCCTAAAGTGAAGCGAAATAACTAACTCTAGAAGCTTGAATGAATACTAAAATGTTTGTATTGAATAGAGTTAAAGCTCATTCTGTTATCTGTAATGAAAACTATTAAGCCATGTCTGGTCTGTTTAAAGATTTCCGCAATAATCTGATAGAAAAAAAAACTGCAAAAAAGAATTGGAAGAATCCATCTATAGGAGCCCTACTCTGTGCAAAATTTATTTGTTATTAACATAAACATGTTGTATTCACTAAGCCTATAAATGATGGCATGTGTGCAGACCCACAACTGTAATAAGTGTTTTGGTGGTTTTATTTGCACCAAATAGACCCAATATTTTATCAAAATCCAAGACATAGTGTCCAACGAAAAATATTCGTTCAAATGTTTCATGAAATATTGCCTCATGTAAACTATTTTTATATCATGTTACAGTGTATGTGTGTATGTATGTATAAATACTTTTGAATTCATATAAATAATTATGCTTTCGACAATAAGCTCTAAGTATAAGTTTCCTCCAAAGGAAGGAATTATATTGTATTAAAACAACAACTAGGTTGGGCCATGGTGAGCTTTTCTTTGAGGCGGCTTATTTTCAGCAGTAGTTTGGTTCATATAGTGCCCATAAACTGTACATTTAAAATAATCATTGTCCAGTTTGTCCATGAACATAGATGTA